AAGAATCCCACATGGCAAAGCAGACCTCTCCTGTCTCACCCACTGCTCCCCTCAGCAGTGTATTTCGTCAGTCTGCCTGTTCTGTTCCCTGCTTTGTCTCTGGTGAATCCTCTCACCCTTCCACACATCTGGCATGTACCCCAGTTCTTGTATAAAAATAAATAAATCTTAAAAAATAAAAAAAATTAAAGGAAGAATAAATAAAAAAATAACTTAATAACCTATCTATGCCAAAAACTGCCAATGCTAACGCTGATATGAACTAAACTCTAGAAATAAGGTAGTATTAATTAAAAATGCTAAAACATTAAAAAAAAATCTTCCTGGGTTGTTTTTTCAATCTTTAGAACTAATCTTGGTTTCTTGCTCACTTGAGACTAAATTGTCCGGGCTGATCTTTGTATTGTTTTTGTTTGGATAGTTCATTTGTAATAGCAACAAAACATCATCTTTGATGTTTAGCATGTCAGGATAAACTCTTTAATTTAGATAACATGAAACGGTAAAATCACAAGTATGTGAATACCTAAGAATGAAATTTTAGACTATATCAAAAAAAAAGTATAAGCTACATAATGGTCCTATTCTTTCCAGTAAGTTGTCTTATCTCAATGTTGACTGGAAGTTTTAGTTGGGAATATCCAAATCATAACAGTTTTGCCTTGGAGTAAAAAAATAGGCACAGAGATTAATGCAATAGAATTGAGAGTTCAGAAATAAACCTATCTTTATATGGATAGTTAATCTACAACAAAGAAGTCAAGAGAATACATTGGAAAAAGGAAAGTCTCTTCAGCATATATGTTGAGAAAACTGAAGAGCCAAATGCAAAATATCAGTATCACATACCATATACAAAAATCAACTCAAAATGTATTAAAGACTTGGATGTGAAACCCTGTGGAACAAAACATAAGTAGAAACTTCAGGACATTGGCTTTAATGATGTCTTTGTGTACTCGATTCCAACAGCGAGGGAAACAAAAATGAAAATAAACAAATTTGACTACATGTAACTAAAAAGCTTCTGCACAACAAAGGAAACTATTATTTAAACGAAAATATTCCCTACTGGATGGGAGAAAATATTTATACATCCTACATCTGCCAAGAGGCTGATACCTAAAAAGAACTTAAAACAACAACACAAAGAATACCAAGAACCTAATCAAAAAATGGACAGACAGCTAAATAAACACTTCTCCAAAGAAGAGATACAGACAGCTAAACAGGCACATGAAAAAAATGCTTATTATAACTTATCATCAGGGAAATGCAAATCAAAACCACAATGAGTTATCATACCTGTGAGAATGGCCCATACCACAAAGAGTGGAAATAACAAAGATATTGAGAATAAGGGGCTCTCATACACTGTTAGTGGTTATCACTTTTCCAATTTATGGAAACCGGTGTGGAACTTTCTCAAGTTATTAAAAATAGATTTACCATGTGATTCAACAATCTTGAATTTTAAGCCTGTAAAAGGCTTCCTCTGCTTCTCAACAATTGTTTTATTCCAGTGCTTTTCAAACTTGAGCTAGCATCAGAATCATCTGGAGTATTTAAAGTTACTGATTTGGTATATCTGGGGTGGGCCCCAAGAATTTGAATTTCCAACAATTTCCTAGATGACCTAGATGGGGTGTACACCTTGAGAATGACTGATTTATGCTTATTTATGATGGTGCTATATTAAAATTCTTACCTATATATAGGAGCTACCATTTTGTTTTTATCATTCCATGGCTGCTAAAATCAATTAATAGGGGGGGTCAACAAGATATTTGTTGACTGAAAGAGAAATGGTGCTGTTAAAAGAAAAAGGAAAAATGTTATGTCTAGCTGCATCCCTTTTTTTAACCTGAATGTCATCAAGTTACATCATAATTATTTTAACTCCCTAGCAAAGGACTCCTTTTGGATGAATAGTCTTTATTTTTAAAGTCCTGGGCACTTCTTAACTAGGCCTCCTCTGCTCATTGTCCTAAAATACTCTCAGTTAAGACTTTCCACTATCTACTTTATAATAAATAGATCCCATCATCTCACACTTAAGTTTCATGATTGTATCCTATTTTTTTTTTAAACCAATAGTAATTTTCAGTGAATGAAACCAAAGTATCATAAACTGCACAATTGAAACCAGTCTGGGATGTGTGTATGAATGATTTCAAGAGAACAAAAATAAATCATGTTTTTATATCAAATACTTTCCTAGACCAAGAAAGAAATAATCATAATAATTTTAATAACACTAGGTGTGAAAAGAATACAAGTAAAATTTAGAATCTTAGAGGGAATTTGTAAGTGTTAAACTTCAGGAAATCGTAGATTATTTTTACTTCCCAAATGCCAAAGCAGATACCTAGGACTGTATATATGTGTATAAATTTGTTCAGAATTCCTTTTATTTTTGGATTGCTGTAGGGTATATTTTGCTATAATGATATCTGCTGATTTTGCTGTGATAGATTAAATACATTACATTATGCTTAGAGTTGATACCCTGACTATTGCACTGATTATTGAGAGTCCTAAGAGAAAATATCTCATTATACTTGTTGATTACATACCTCGATTGGATAGCAGCTAACAATGCCATATTGATTATTTTTCATTTCTACTCTGGAAATTAGAGCAGAATTTGTTCGAAATGTGCTTCCATTTGTATTGTGGATGTGATTGGTTCTGAATATTTGAGTCATTTAATAAGTCTATTTTCCTCAATGATCTGATGTTTCTTACTGATATTTTCTTAGAACTTATGCTTCTGCTTTTTTGATAAGCTTTACCTTGGGAAGATATGAAATGAGTAGTTTAAAACTGAACTAGAAATATTTTCATAATTTAAATATATGTAGATTTTAATTATTTCTTCACAGGAATCTTCTGTATATTAATTTATGTGAAATTATTGGGTAATATGAAACTGCTGATTCTCTTAACCACATAAGCCAGTCAATATAATTAAATTTGAATTAGCAAATATTTATTTAATGTTGACTCTATGTAAGCGACTCTGCCTAGCATTATGGAGACAGAAATGTCAATGGGAAAATATAATTGTTTTCATAGAATTTATAATATAGAAAGGTGTTTTAGACACATGTGGCAAGAAACATGTAAGCAGTAAGAGATAAATATACTTAGTGGTTAAAAGGAAAGACAACTCAGATTTGAATGGAGGACTTACGTGGGAAAACATTAATGGAGGAGTTGACAGTCAATTTGAGCTTAAAGGGTTTGGTGGTATGGATTTGAGGTTATCTTCTAGGAATATATCATATAAAGTAGGGAAGAACAGGGAAGATTCCAGGAAATACAATTTGTCTAATTTTTTATTGGAACATGCGGAATATGGCCTGAAAGTAGAAAGGTAGGTTGAGGTCACAGCAAAATTTTGTATCAAGGGATTTACAGTGTGTTAGGTAGACTACAGGAAATTTTTAGACAGAAGACTATAGTTAAGCGTAGTCTAATACAGCATTTTATAAAATGAATAATAGAATGAACATGCAGAAACCTTAATTGGGAGGCTCTTCTGTATGAAAGGGATAGAGAGGGTATGTGTGGTAGTCATTCTAGAAGTAGAATATTTATATCTGTATGACTAAAAAACAAAGAAACCTCTGTGTGGTCGATTGGTATTTAGCTTTCTATCACAATGGAACTTCAACTCCTGACACTCTTCCAAGCCTGTTTATTCAGCTACTGCTATACAGGTCTCCTCACAATTCTTGAAATATTCCTAGCACACTAGCTACCACCTCAGAACCCATTTGCTCTTATTCCCTCTACTGGAAAGACCATACACTTCTTTCAGGCTCTGTTCAAATACCATTATATCAAAGTATCTTTCCCTTACTACACAGGAAACATATCCTTTCATTTATTAAGGTATATGTTTATTCATAGTACCAAAGCACATTGTATTGAACATTTTCTTTTTAAACATTGTCTTTCTTTTTTTCTGGTTATAATCTATCTCCCTCTTTCTAGACAGAAAGATGCATGAGGGTGTAGTGAAGTTTTGTTGTCTATGAAGTCTATAATATCTCTCTTATCTACCACATTCTTGAATGAATAAATAAACCCAAAGGTGAAAGAGATGGGAGATTAAAAAATTATGCCAGTATTTTAAGTTTGAAGGATTCAAAGTTTACTGGTGTTCTGAAGAGAATATAAAAGACCGGCTTTCAAGTGTTTTTATTTTCTTTTAGTTTTTTATTGAAGTACCATTGTTTTACATCCTTGTTAGTATTTTGACAATGTAGGATTTCCTCCCTCAGATCTAGTGACCATAGCACTCCTACCAATAAAACAACCATAGTCCATTGTGCTCTCTCCCGCACCCATCCTCACCTCAGATATGTGGTCAGCTTTCAAGAGTTGGTTTTGAAGTTTTTCTTTGCCTGACCTTTTGTTTGGTTTCTCTATATTCCACATGTAAGTGAAACAATCTCACATTTATCTTTTCTTCCTTTTGATTTATTTACCAGTTTTGGTGGTGGGTGCTCTATGGTGATTACACCAGAAGAAGGAGATCCTATACTTCCAAAATACTGACAAAGATGTAAACAATGGTAATTCATTAAAAAAAAAAAAAAATTAAAAAGAGAAACAGCTAATAAAATCTGTCATTTAACTGTAATAAAAATAAAATATGAATGAGGAGAAGAGGAATTGATTTAAGGGACTAGTTATGCAGGAGAAGATAAATGTAGCTTTATCAATTCAGGCTTACGTATATGATGCTGGTGAAATGACCTGTTAAGTGGGCGATCTAAAATGTGAAGGGAAGTCTGGATTGAGGTAAGGATCTGAGTTATCCTCAGAGATTCAATACTTGAGGAAATGGAAGTAGAAGAAAATAATGATAACAATATTAAGACAGGATTATCAGATTGGAAAATCAAAATTTAATTTTTGGATGTTTAGTGTTTGAAATATTTAAACTTAAGCTTATTTATCCTCCCCACTTTTTTTTTTTTTTATAGCTGGGTTAAGAACTTTGGCCATGAAGGTCTTGGACTCTTATTGGATGTGCTGGAAAAACTTCTGGACAAGAAACAGTGAGAATAAACATTTTAAAAGAATTATCAGAGGGGAAATTTTTAAGCATAACATGTTTTTTAACACACGTTTTTTTCTTTTATTCAGGCAAGAAAACATTGATAAGAAGAATCAGTATAAACTCATCCAGTGCCTCAAAGCATTTATGAATAATAAGGTAAGCAGTATTTATTTTTGCCTGTCACAAAAGGTGAGAAGTTTGCCAATCGTATGAAAGTATAAAACTGACAAGATAGTGGGTGCTTATTTAGTTTACAAGAGGGTCTTTATGATGGATAGCATCATGAGTTTCATTTAAATATTTAAAGTATCTTAGCTTCCCAAATTTTGTATTTTTACAGTCATGCCAACATGTTAGTCTTGTTCCCTAGAACTTTGTTCTTTTATGGTGACAAAGTTATGCAGAATCTGATGCTTAACAAGTAATCACTTAATTACCATTGCTTCTCCACAGCTCAAGATGGATCTCTTTTATTAATATAGGACGACAGAAATAATGGTGAAAAAACACAGTTCTAGAAATCAGCAGCTATGGTTCAACAACTTTCATGTTTAAGTCATTTCAGATGAATTTATAACAATTTATTCCAACAGGAATTGGGTATATCATGGTTATTTTAAATTTTGTTCTTTGTTTTTTTTTTTTTTATATTTTAACATGAAAGTTGTTGGCCCCAAGAGGTTTAACCAACTTCAAAATATCTTTAACTTATACAATGCATGTAATAATAGGATCATAAAAACTCATTGTCCCTTCACTTTTAGTACTATAATCTTTCTTTGATGTTTGGGTTTATGGTTTTCCATCATTTCTTATGTCTTCATTTAATTTTTATTATGCTCCTATATATTAAAAACTACTTAAAAACTACTTTTAAAATTTAACCTTTAAATTTGTTATTTATATCTGGTAATTTTGTGGTAACCATCCCTCAAATTTTTACATATGTTTTTTCACTTCTTTACCTTCCCATTTATTATCTACTGGCCAACTATAGACTTATTTATCCCTTATTTTTTGTTTGCTTCTTTTTAATCTTGTCTCACCCATTTTCTTTTTTTTTAAATCTTGTTTCAGTAGATTCCCTTATTTATTGTTATGTCTGGTAAAACCTAACATTTAAGAACTTTATGTTTTTTTTCCCTCCCTGAGTTCTTTTAGAAGTCAAATTAAGAACCATGAAAATATTCATATGTTTGGTACTTTACTAAAGGTTAGCTTGAAATGGAAATTTTACTCTGATGAAATGTCAGATTTCACAATTATACTGTAAAAAAGAAGCAAGCATTTCAAAAGAAATCTGAAAAATAGTTTGTGGGACAAAGATCAAAGAATGTATCTCCTTAAGTATTAAAAACTGAAGTTTTGGGCTTTCTTTAACATTATTTATTCATTCTTCTAGAACACCCTTGTGCACATATATTCAAAGCTAGAAAATAAATGAAAAAATACTGTGTTCTCGACCTTGTACTAAAAGACAGGCACCATTTATTTATGCTCGTAGTTTTATTTGGTGTTTTTTTTTTTTTTTAATGGAGCACAACTGCCTTAAAATGTGAGGATGAGAGAGAGAAGGTATGGGAAAATTCATAAAGAGATTTATTGCTTCTTTCTTTCTTTTTTTTTAATTAAAGATTTATTTATTTATTTATACAAGCACTGGGTACAGTCAGATGCGCGGGAGGGTGAGAGAATTCACAGAGCCAGAGTGGGGAGCAGAGCAGGCAGAAGGACCTAAGTACACTGCTGAGGGAGCAGTGGGCGGCAGGAGAGGTCTGCGCGCCATGTGGGACCCTCATCTGGTGGCCGGGGAGCAGCCGGGGATCGAACCGGCGCTGCAGAGGCTGCGGGCAGCTTCGCAACCCATCGCTCAACCGCTGCGCCACCGGGGAGGCCCTTCTTTAACTGGCATATATTATCAAAAGAACTTTTCAACAATTTGCCCTTTTTGTTTAACTTAATTTTCCACACAAATGTATTGGAGAATTTAACCATGAATTCCAGACATCACCTAATAGAAATAATGTAAGTAGAATTTAGAAAATCATATCAGTATGTGCTGTACATGTTCTTCTTTGTGAAAGAAATATTGATTGTTATCATATTTCTCTCAAATCTTTATGGAATTTTTAGGCAGGCTACTGGAGATCATATCTGATCAAGGGGCTAAGCAAAATAAAGTCATTTCAAATAAAAAAAGATAACTGCATTTGAAGAACATTCATATAATTAGACAGAACCTTATTGTGGAGTTATGGATTTTTAGAAAATCACTGTAAATTGTTTTTTAAATAATAGATTTTTTCCCCCAGATATTTTGAATTAAATTTCTCTTTTTGTTTTTTGTTTTAGTTTGGATTGCAACTGATTCTAAAAGATGAAAGAAGTCTTTTACTATTGGCAAGAGCAGTTGACCCCAAACAAGCCAACATGATGACTGAAATAGTAAAAATACTTTCTGCTATTTGCATTGTTGGAGAAGATAACATGTAAGTATTGCTATATTATTAACTGAATGAAAAATGACACTTGCAAAATAGTATTATTTTTGTGCTATTTCTTTAAAAAACTTGCATGAAAATAGTATTACATTTTATAAATTTTTGTTGGTATTTTTATCTAATCTATTTAAATTTTAACTTCTTTAAATTCTTTGAAAGTTAGCCTTAAAAGTAATTGGAATGGGTAATTATCCAAAGTTCAATTCAAAGTGAATTGATAGAATTTTGTCTAGTTGAGAGTATAACAATCATTGGATGAGTGGGGGAAAAAATTCAGAGTTATTTGAGTAAATACACATATACATGCACATCGCAAAATTTGATTCATTTAATTGACTAGGTGCTTTAATTTTGTACGATTATTTCATAGTAATATTTTACTTTATCTGCAAATGGTAATTGAAAAGATGAAGCAGTTGTTTGTAGAGTGAAATAAACCAACCCATTAAAAAGAAAAGAAAAATTAGAATGTTGGTAATTAATCAGAGTGCATATATGTGCCACTTTCAGCAGGTCATTGCTGAGCATGTAGTTGATCATACCTTCTAATGGGGAAAAAATGTGGATCAGGAGCAAATTTCAGGCTTGTTGCCATTAATAATCCTGGTTAGTAAGAAACCACTGTGATTAAAAATTGAAATATTTTCCTGAGGACATGAACAAAAAGATTCTGAACATGTTGTTTTAAAGTTGTAATTTCAATTTGAATCAGAATAGTACCATACAAAGATTTAAGATTACTCTAATAAGTTGACTATCTCAGATCTATTACAATAAAATGAGATGTTGATTAATGCTAGCTAGTCTACTTCTAAAAACCAAAATAGAAGCACTAAATAAAAATATTTTTTTTATAATAATAAATTTTATTTTTATATTCCCCATACAGTTGCAACCCCCTTATTTTGACCCCAGTCCCTCCCCTCCCGCCTTCCACCCCCCATAGAGTGTCTCTGGTTCATAGTTTTTTGTTGATTTTGATTTTCACTTTCTTATAGTTATTCATTTACCTAGTCCCTTATTTAAGTTTTCTAGATTCCTGCTATGAGTGAGACCATCTGGTATTTTTCTTTTTCTTTGTGGCTTATTTCGCTGAGAATGATCCCTTCCAGTGCCATCCATGTTGCTGCAAAATGCATGTGTTTATCTTTTTTGAATGCTGAGTAATATCCCATGGTATATATGTACCACATCTTCTTGATCCAGTCATCCATTTTTGGGCATTTGGGTTGTTTCCAAAGCTTAGCTATTGTAAATAGTGCTGCTAAAATATTCTTATATAGAATAATCTCAAACAAAAACAAACAGAATGGGAAAACATATGCAAAATTAAGGTTTCCTTAGGCCTTATAGAAAAACTAGATTATACAAGAGTGAGACATTTTTCTAGTCAATTAGATTTTGAATACTTAATTCATAAAATACAACCTATCCTGGTATTTTGTTATGATTTAGTTATGATTTTATTTTATTTATATATGTATATATTTATTACATCATCCTCCATTTTTGTGCAATGTATGAATTCCCACCAACAATTCGACCTTGCACCATCAACGTAGTCCAATGTGCTCTTTCCACACCTGTCCCTCTACATCCCCATCCCCTACAGAAAGTCTCTGGACTATGGTTGCCTATTGATTTTGATTTTTACTTGATTATAGTTTTTTTTTTTTTCCTGATCCCTTGTTTGGCTCCTCTACAAGTGAACTATCCAGTATTTTTCTTTTTCTTTCTGTCTTATTTTTTTGAGCATAATTCCTTCCAGTTTCATCCATGTTGCTGCAAATAGCATGAGTTTATCCTTTTTGATTGCTGAGTAATATTCCACTGTGTATATATACTACATCTTTTTTTTATATTTTTCCTGTTTTTTTTATTTATATGTATTATATATCATTGTTCATTTTAAACAATATTTGCTTTTTTACTTATAACTTTATATACTATTTGATAAGAGTATTATACTATATACAGGTTAATTCGACTCAGACACTGTATGTAGATAGTTACCGATATTTTTGTTGAGATATGGAAATTTCCTGTGCTAAGTAACTATAAATACTTCTCTGATTATGTGGATTTTCTCTTTCAGATTTTTTGTTGCTCCATTCTCAAAGAATGTTGTTTTTAATAAGAGTTTTTATAAAAATATTTCTTTTAAGTAATTCATTATAAAATTACAATTAAAAAATTGTAATAGTTTAGATGCCATATTATGTTCAAGTGATAGTAATATTTGTGAACACATGAAATATCAAAATCTGAAGTTCTGGATTTCAGTGTTTATCATTTCTCAACTTTTTTATTGATTTTTCATTTTGATGCCCTAAAACTACTACAACTTTCACTATCTCACTTATAGAAATATATAGACAGGAATACAATTCTTAAATTGTAATCGTCTGTATTAAATCAAGCATCTGAAAAAAAAACAGATGACTGGAAGAGCTAACCTATATTCATACGGTGTGTGTAAGTTTTGTTTCTTTTTTTGTCACCTTATAGTCTAGATAAACTTTTAGAGGCTATAAGTACAGCAGCAGAAAGAAACAACAAAGAGAGATTTTCACCAATTGTGGAAGGATTAGAAAATCATGAAGCTTTGCAATTACAGGTGAGTTACTTTTATCTTAAAATGCTTTCTAGGATCATATCTAGAATTCTCATTTTGTATACTAAATCCATTTTAGCTGACATTTAAATATAGTGAAACATAAAAGTAACATTCTTCCCATTGCTTAGTCCTTCATAAAAGCTGTAAGTGTTTTTTGTACAAGTGACAATTTGATTAAAATTAGGAAAATATTTCAGATTATTATAAATTTGGTATTTATGATTATTATTAACATTTGGGTAGGAATTCAGTAATTAGTGTCATAAACCATGGATATTAATCAGGACAAGAGAGCAAACAGTTCACCCAGCACTAATGGAATCTATGTGCTTGTTGTAGAAATTTAAGAAAGCCAAACATTTCTTTGTGCTAAACCCAAACAAAACTCTATCCCTTCTTAGACAATTTTAGTAAATTACTCATTTTATGAAAAATAACTTTGATCTTGAATGATGAAAATTCATATTTATTCATTGTATTTATGGTGTGAGATCTAGGACTAAACTTAATTTACATATGTTACCTGATTTAATTCTCACAACACATCTATGTTGGTGCCATTATCATCTCCATTTTGCTCTAGACTAGTTGAAAATGAATAACTTGTCTAGGGTGACATAGTTCATAAAGTCAGTATTCAATTCCAGGGTTTTTGGTCTCTCATGAGCACCTCTTTCATTTAGACAGTCTTTGCCATTTAATGCACCATGGGGAATGTTTTGTGAAATATTTTTTAAACTCTAGTAGTGTTCAACAAGGAGAAAATTATTCCATGTTTAATTTTATCAAATTACTTAGCAGTGAGTGTTTACATATTAAAATGTCTTAATCTGAGGTACACCAAACAATTTCTTTTGTTCGTTTTTATTGCATTGTGAAGTTTTGATATCTTTTTCCTCCCACCGTTTGAAACTAGAGCAGTAAGATGAATTGGCTTTTCCAAAGAGAATACTGTATTGTTACAAAACTGCAATCCTTCAAAATATCTAAGGATATTTATTAATTGTTATTTCTACTCCAACTATGTTGAACATTTTGGATAAACTTTTATGGTGTGCCTTTTTTGTTCAATATATATTTTTTAATAATAGTAATGTTTCCTTCCAGTGTTTTCCTTTTTATAATATATTTATAAAATGATCACAATATAAATTTAGTATCTCATCAGAGAGATTTGGACACTGTCCTCTGAATAATTTCATAAAATCCTGAAATCTAATTGAATTTCATTGATTTTGTCACATGTAGGAGTTGATACTTGCAAAGTTTGTTTAGGTGGAATTAAGTTGTTTAGATATATTTAAAATGTTTATTACTCAGATCACTCACTTAAAATCACATAGCTTCTGAGGGGTGGAGCTGTGATTTGAAGCTAGATCTCTGTGACAGCAACATTCATATTACATTGCCTGACCTTTAAAGTGACACCTCTGCCAAAGAGTTGTTCACCCCAAACAATGAGAGGGGTTTGACATTTGCTAGTCTTTAGGAAGCTGGCCTGAATAGAATAAGGTAGGAAGTTTTTAAAAACTAACACATTAAAGAATAATAGACATCTTGCTAGGTATTCAATAAATTGTTGAATACTGATTATAGATACAACATATGCAGATCACAAGTTGAAATTTCCTATTTTAATGAACTACAAAATTTAGTAGTTTTGTTATACACAGAGCATATTACTCCCACAAGAGTTGTGAAGTGGTTTTGTTTATTTGGACCTTTTAATTTGAATACAAATATATACCCAAAAATTCAAACATGTATTTGGAAAACAGGTAGACAAATGTTTAAATTTGTTTTTTTTTTAAATATAATTAGTGCTGTATTTAAACAGAATAACTTTTCTATTTCTGTAGTATTCTGAGACTTCTTAAATTTTATTAGAGTTCTAAGAAGTAATTCTATTAAAATACAGGGCTAATTATATTTTTAAATAACAGCCGTATATACCTTTTGGGTTTTGATTTTTTCGGGTTTTAAAGCAGATAACTAAATGCTCTCACACAGTTTTTCTAGCCCATCTTTAAAGTGAAATCTTGAACCCCTCTTTTAGGATTTACAATCTATACTTGCTTTTCCTTTTTCCTGTGTAATCTCTTAAAACTTAACTTACTCACATTTCTCAAAAATGTCAGCAATGATCCTCTAATTTCATAATCCAATATATTCTTTCCAATCCTGATCACTAGGAGTTATTTATACCCCCACCTCCTTGAAACATTTACTTCCATTGCCTTTCCAGATACTATTCTCCCCTGGCTCTCTACCTCTAATTGTTCTTTTATTTTATTTTATTTTATTTTTTTATTTTAAATAGAGGCATGTTTTATTTATTTATTTGTTTGTTTGTTTTGTTTATACATGCACTGGGTACAGTCAGAAGCGCTGAAGGGTGAGAGAATTCACCAGAGCAAGGGTGGGGAGCAGAGCAGGCAGAAGGACCGAAGTACACTGCTGAGGGGAGCAGCGGGCGGCAGGAGAGTCTACCTCTAATTGTTCTTTCTCTGTATTCTTTATGTGTCTCTTCTTCTTGTGTATTTGTTCTCTGTGTTCTATCCTTAATTTTCTACTGTTATCATTTTACATATATGCATTTATATGTACAAATGCACACATATATGCTCATATACATTTACTTTTATATACACATATATATTTTATTTTCTACATGAATATTGCCATTTACTTCTCTAGCTTTAATATTCAACTATGTTCTAGTGATTCCCTAGTTTGATAAGTCCAGCTCATCTCTTTCTGTTAAAACCTACATACCCAAGATGCTTAACTAAATGTCTTCTAGGCATCATAAAAATAAGAAATTAAAAATAGCATTTATAAGCCATCCTCCGATGTTCTAAATACTTTACATATGTTATCTCATTTTAATTCCCAACAAGTCTATGAGAGTGATAATAGTAATATCCTCATTTTATAGATGAGTAAAATGAGGCTCATGGAGATTAATTTTCCTAATGTCACAAAATGAATAGGAAGCAAATCCCAGATTAGACACTTGGGAATCTGACTCCAGAGCACATGCTCCTAACCACTACCTGGTACCTCATCTTATTAAAACTGAGCACATTCTCTCTTCCCTTTAACCTGATTCTTCAAAGAGAAATATACTTTTCTCCACATCTTTCTCACTTTATATTATGGAGGTAACATTTTCTAACTAATCTGCATTTTTCCTCGACTGCATTCTTCTTTGTTACCTGCATCCAATGAATCATTGAGTCTTATAGAATAGACTGTGAATCTTTCCTATATCCCATGCTCTCTACCTCCATTGCCTTTAACTTCTCCCACCAAAATTATTCCAACAATTTCCTAATTAGTATCCCACACTCACAGTCTTCTTTGCAGACAAATGTTTTGTATTGTTGTCAGTTATCCTCAAAAAATAAATCTGATTCTAACTTAGTAGAATTCATAGAGATTCCTCATGATCCATTACTAGTTGATAAAAGTTAAAAGCCTAGGAGCCTCCCTGGTGGCGCCAGGGGTTAAGCACTGCGCTATGAAGCAATCCGAAGCCTCTGCAGCACGAGTTCAATCCCCAGCCAGCCAGAGAGAAACCCACATGGCGAAACAGACCTCTCCTGTCTCTCCCGCTGCTCCCTAAGCAGTGTACTTCGGTCAATCTGCCTGTTCTGCTCCCCACTCTGTCTTTGGTGAATCCTCTCATCCCTCACACCTCTGGCCTGTACCCCAGATCTTGTATGCATAAATAAATAAATCTTTAAAAAAATAATTTAAAAAAAAGTTAAAAGACATTATGATGTATGACCTTTATCAGTGTGGCCCTGACCTAACATTCTACCATTTGAGCCTGTCAATCTCTCAAATGTAACATGTTTTAGCCACAATAAACCTGGTATTTCCCAGATATGCTATAGGTTTATACGTGCCCTCAAACATTTTTTTAAGATTTATTTATTTATGCATACAAGAGCTGGGTTACAGGCCAGAGATGCAGGGAGTGAGAGGATTCACCAGAGACAGAACAGGGAACAGAACAGCAGACTGACTGAAATACACTGCTGAGGGGAGCAGCGGGCGAGACAGGAGAGGTCTGCTTCGCCATGTGGGTTTCTCTCTGGCTGGCCTGGGATTGAACTCGTGCTGCAGAGGCTTCGGGTTGCTTCATAGCGCGATGCTTAACCCCTTGCACCACCAGGGAGGCCCGCCCTCAAACATTTTATCATGCAGAAAGTTTTGTTTTTTTGGTTTTTTTTAAGATTCATTCATTCATTCATTCATTCATTCATTTATTTTTGCAAGCACTGGGTACAGTCAGAAGCATGGGAGGGTGAGAGAATTCACCAGAGCTAGAGGGGGGAATTGAACAGGCAGACTGACGAAATTCACTGCTGAGGGGAGCAGCGGGCATGGCAGGAGAGGTCTGTGTGCCATGTGGGACCCTCGCCGGTGGCCAGGGATCAATCCGGTGCTGCAGAGGTTGTGGGCAGCTTCGCAGCCCAGCGCTCAGCCACTGCGCCACCAGGGGAGGCCCTGCAGAACATTTTGATTGAAAGACCAACCCTTCTCCAACCATATCCCATTCCTTCTTGTAAGATATAATGAGCGTGCAAAGAAAGGCAAATTTGGGAAATTTTCTTTGTTGGTAGAAAAACTGTGTTTTCGTAGGGTGTAGGCAGGAAAAGGAGTTTAAATTAGTTTTTAAAAAGGGGGAGGCAGACAGAATAGTCTGCCAATATATTTACAAAAGAGGGCCTCCCCTGGTGGCGCAGAGGTTGAGCGCTGGGTTGCGAGGCTGCCCGCAGTCTCTGCAGTGCCAGTTCGATCCCACGCCACCGGCAAGGGTCCCACAAAAAAAAAAAAAAATATATATATATATATATATATATATATACAAAAGAAATCCAGAGATAATATCAAGATATAGTTGAAACTAATTTCTCCATTTCCCAGCAGAAGCTAGGGTGCACTGAGCTTTAATAATAGGGTGGAATAGTATCGTTAACATCCAATGA